TCTCTCTCTCTCTCTCTCTCTCTCTCTCTCTCTCTCTCTCTCTCTCACACACACACACACACACACACACACACACACACACACACACAAACGCGTACACGAGGCACATGCCTTATGTGCCACAATGTGTGGCACCAAAATTCTCTACCGGGCAGACGGAACCATAGCACACAACCATATGGGCATTGATTGACAACATAGGAGAGGCCAGCTACGTGGCAAAATGGTGGTCGTCATGGGCGAGGGGAGAGACGAAGCTGGCGGGAATGAGAGGTATGCGGGAACATGGGCCCTTAACAAGCCCATCATGTAACATAACCTACAAGAGGGTACAACAAACAAGCAGGATTCCTGCAGAGGGTGCAAGACAGCTCCATCGAGCAACGCGATATCATCTGCGTCCCTATTCGATTTCTAACAATGAATGCTACACGCGTCTACCCGACAAGCCAGACTGCAATTACCATCGAACTTTCCTTGAAGGAGCGAAGCCCGGAGATCTGCAGTCAGAAGCACTCCTTGCAGAACAACAGCAACCCCACAACAAAAACCAATAATTCACAACTACAAAACCAATAATAAGAGGGTTGTTTCGCCAACCATGCGCCCCTCCTCCGCAAGCTGCCCTCTCCTCAGCATGACCTTTGCCGCACTCCTGGAGGAGTTTGCTTCCTTCTGATCCATTCTCGACTTCTCAAGGCAGTCTCGACTCGATTGAAGCGTATCCTCGACAACACAACACCCACATGCCCCCCCCTCTGCCAGCTGCCCTCTCTCTTCAGCATGAGCTTTGCCCAAATCCACGAGGAGTCAGTCGGCTTCCTTCCGATCCATTCTTGACTTCTCAAGGCAGTTTCGACTCGATCGAGGAGTATCCTCCGCAACAACACCCACACGCCCCTCCTCCGCCAGCTTCCCTCTCTTCAGCATGAGCTTTGCCAAACTCCAGGAGGAGCATTCGGTTTCCTTCTGATCCATTCGCAACTTCTCAAGGCATTTTCGACTCGACTGAAGAGTATCGTTGAGAACAACACTCACCTTTCCTTTGAGACTCAGGCAAAGCTTGACCCACTCAAACCATTTCCACCGAGCTCTGTTCCCTCTGAAGGCCACCTTCAGATCCGTTTCTGCTAAGCAAGCTTGGCCCATTCCTACTCCGCAGAGTGTTTGTGACAAGAATATAATTGCCGCCCCTTTCCAACTCAGCAAGCCTGGCCGCCATTCACTTTGACTTTGATCGAAGTCATCTGCACGTCTCTTCTTTTTCGTCTTCTTCCAATTGCCTTGACCGATGGCCGGATGATTGCAGACCTCAGTAAGGAGTTTTTTCAGTCGTTCACTTCATGAAGTTATCCCCAACAGGTATCTTTCTGTCTTCAAACCGCCGCCCTCCTCGACATTTGCCTGACGAACCTTGAGATGCCTGTCTAAACCGTAACTATCAGCAACCCCACGATATCCACAGAATAGGGACATATAATATAAGCCTAAAAAGCACAGACAGACCAGGAATGCGAAGCAAGCAAACCAAGCATCATGATGCCATTCTACTTCTGTCTACATGCCACATTAACAGGTACACAGCCACCTCAACCTGGCCAAGTGCAGTCGTCATACGGAATCAGGTAGTGAGTGAGCTACGGTCGTCATAAACAGTTTGGAAGACAAGTGACAACAACAATTAGCGGACAGCACATCATCACCTGAAGGCTGCAGACAGAAAAGGCTAGAAGAGTGTGTGACAGATCAGCACTACTTGTGAGCGACAACACCACCCCAACTAGCTTCAACGGCATTGGCCTTCTACAATCGCTCTACCGTCATGGAGATTTACATACAAAAGCCAAGGCTCTGCGCATCACAACTCTTGCTAGGACATCCATTTACTATTCAGGCAGGCTGACCGATGAGCAAACACACACAAGCGCACACACACACCAACACATAGACGCATAAACAAAAACATGCCCCTGCGCAAGGATGACATGCATAGATCGAGGAATCAAAAAGAAACTCGCAGGTCGGTCGGCAAGGATACCAACATGCCGACAGAGAAACAGAGGCCAGCCAGACAGACAGACAGACAAGTCCTAGGGCTCGGAGCATTGCGATCCCACAGTGAAGACTTCAATAATCAACCCCACGAGCGAACCCCGCTCTGAAATGTCAGCGTCAGAGTACAGTCACCAAGTCCTCTGGTACGCCGATAGACAAACTCCTCCTTGGGGGCCAACTCAATCCTGGGGCAACTGTTTGTCCTTCCTTCTCCGACTGGATGGCAGGGAAACCACTTGACAGGGCAGATGCACACCGCAACGCAGCCATGCCCGAAAAATTATGTTATGAATCCGCCATGTGATTTTCCATCAGAGTGCAGGACAACAGTTCAAGGATACAGCCCCCCCCCCCCCCCCCCACCACACACACACACCATTTGCCATTCTGTGATAAAGGGGGCACCACAAAACCCTTCCAAAACCACAGCATCGGCTCCACTCATCACTTGTAGTATAGCTTTCCCCGCACGAGCATCGCCTTTTAGAACAGAGGCATCATGCCAAACATCAAGCCATGCAGGCCTGGTCTATAGCTCAGTCTTCAGTTCCGTCACCGATAGGCGCTTCAGCATCTGCTTAAGCCATTTAGAATGCGCCATTTCGTTTTGCCCATAAAGGCCAACCAGATGCCAGGACTTTAGCAGCACACCCCTTGAGCAGCCATGCCCTCCGCCCAATCCTTCGTCACACCTACCTAGCAGGGGGCATGCTTCACAGATAGCCGCTTAAGCATCTGCTTAATCTAGCACAACACCTTCGGTTGCCAGGAATGAAATCATTAGCCAAAACATCAACCGCCTTCTGCCAGACGTCCAGCGCCCATGCACCTGGATCAGCATGCTCATCCTAAACCGAAGCCAGCAGGCCCTTCACAACCCATCCAAGGTCGGCTAATGATGACAACACTGGGTATTCAGCGAAAACACACAGCCTCCCTACAACTCGACTCCCGTCGAAAAACTCTCCACCTACCTAATCACGATTCGAAGATGTAATTACTTCACCCCTGTTCAAGAATGAGCGCAACGCCATGCCATCTCTAACACTAAATTACCACAATGTGTGTTCTCCTTTGGCGGTCCTCTGCTCCAGTTCCTTGTCACCCAATCACACAATCATGCGTCCACTCGTGATCCTCTTCTGGCGAACTCACAAACCGCACTTTTTGAGAACCGCACGTTTTGAATTGATTCGCGTGATCATCATCAGCAGCATGAGTTACACAAAGCGCATTAGAGATGAACTTCGTGTCTACTGATGGTCCAGCCATTGCCTTTGTTGCTCACCCAAGGGGTACGATGATTCAAGCATGAAGTCCATGCCGGATCCGGTTCCAGGTCCGGAACTAGCACCAGGTCTCATCTTCCACGACTCACGCTTCATCCACATGTTATACTGATTCCCGCCCCCCCATTGGTCCATGCCCACCTTTCGGCCTACCGATCTATCCCCGTCCATGCGACCCTGCACATGTCCCTGCTCCTGGCCATGACCTTGCCCTTGAGTCTGCCGAGGGGAGTTCATCCCAACCATGCTTGGTCCACCTCCTCCTCCCCCCCCGCCACCTCCACCCATCCCGGAGCGCATGTCATTGGTCATGCTACCACTGTTATTGTTGTTATTGTTGTTGCTGCCGCCGTGGTGATGTTGTGGATGCCTCTGGTGCTGATGGTGCTGGTTTTGGACACCAACCCCACCTTCCACATCTAATGAAACAGGCCCGTGACTTCCAGGCTGTAAAGGACCAGATGGAACCACACCATGGTTCCCAGGCTGTGTGACACCATGGGTACCGGATGGTCCCACCCCATGACTACCGGACTGTACTACTCCATGGCCACTAGTCCCACCCTCTCCACAAAGGCCTGCAAACATATCGTGCAAGTGACGGGTCGGTGGTCCTCCTGAAGGTTGATGAGCCCGTCCCACCTCCGTTGCTGGCGCTACCGTTGGCCGATGCGCGCTCGCCGACCCACTCATCTCTCGGTTGCCACTCCGGTTACCATTGGGTATCGGCACCGGATGTCCGATCACCGGTGTAGGAACTTGCAGTCCCAGCTGCATGTCCCTGTCAAGGTTAAAACCCATCGACTGTTGCTGCCTCTGCATGCGCGGACCCAGCTCCGACAGACTCTTCGAGAACATACCCTCACCCCCAGAACCACCCATAGCTCCCTGCTGCACTGCATGGCTCATCGGGCCCATCTGACTAATAGGGGGGGGTTGGGAATGCACACTTATGGGGTCGGTCATCACGCTTTGGGCACCAGCAATAATGCCCCCATCAAGTGGCTTGTACGGACAAGACGAAACGTGCATCTTCCACATTTCGCGTGTTGTATACGCATTTGTCCATTCATGATGTGGACATTGCTTGTAGGGGCATGCAAACAGCTGCCTCTCTGGAGGCACCGGCTCTCCACCAGGACCTCGCCGCCTTTTCAAGGACCCTCCTTGCTCAGTAATATCATCACTGTCCCTGGCAGCCATTAGCATCTCACTCATGCCCACACCTCCCGTGTTGCCCGGTCTCACTATTTCTTCAGGCAGCGCATTCCCAGAACTGTTGCAGTTACCGCTACTGCCCCCTCCACCTTCGGCTCCAGCGCCACCCCCATTACCAACTCCACCACCACCTCCTCCTCCACCCCCAGCTTCACCACCACTTCCACTGTTTGGGATGTTACTCTCTCCCGGACGAGGCTCCTCCGCCGCGGCCGCGGGGATTATTGCCCCAGCATTCTCCCTTTCTCCTGGATTTCCATCACCAGAGCCATAGGCGCCGCCCTCCTGTTGCTCCAGGTCGCCCTTATCGCCGCTTCCCATCGTGATCTGTCTGGGAGGCAGCATATGACCGAAACCCTCGACATCATAGTCATTTCCAGACGTCCCCGCAGCAAGTGTCCCATCTCTGGCATTCGGCGGCCTTACCGCGGTTACTGCCAGAATCCCTGTGTTCAGTGTTGGTGGCGGTGCCGGCAACGCTGGTTTGGGTTGGCCAGGCATACCGCTGCCAGCCTCGATCATATCACCCTTTGAGGCATCGCCGCTCATCAGGCAGCGCGAAAGCCCCTCCTCTTGCTGGAGGACTCCAAGCCATGTCGCACTCTCTCGTGCTGTCATCTTATCTTGCAGGCACTTTGACTGCCTTACCAGCTTCCTGATCTTGGATATGTTCGGCGACATGTGCTTGATTACTGCCATCAGAACTCCAACTTTCCACGCTTTCTTAAGATCATGTGGCTTCTTATAAGGAAGAGGACCTTGGCCCTTGGGCAAGCCAATCTGCGGCCACCAATCCTCGTCGCCAGTTGGCCACCAAGGCGGCGGAACACCCTTCTCGAGAGGAAAGCGTCTCTGTTTCGGGTCACAATGCTGCATCAACGCGGACAGTAGTGATCCCAGAGTAGTATCTTGCAGTTCCTGTAAAGAGTGCAAGGCGGTCGTTGAAGATTCTGTCCCCTCGATCTTTTTCTGGGCATGTTCAGCGGCATATTTTGCAGCCGCAAGCGGGCCATTGCGGTCAAACCTGACTTTGTCTTTCCACCACGCCCGTAGGTTTTCAGAGCTTCCACCCACTGGCTTTCCTTTCTCTGGGATGATCCCGTAAACAAATCCCTGTGCTTTACAGACTTCCATCATTTTCAGCATGTACTTCAGGATTCCATCATGTGCACGGGACATTTTTTTCCTCCGTGCTTGCTCCTGCGACTGTTTCTGCCGTGGCTTGTCTTGGAGCTCCCTGGCTTTCTGCAGCTCCTTGATTTGCCGCAGCTTCAGTCGATCACGCCACATCTTTCTCTCCAATTCATCGATGTCAATATCTTCATCGCTAACATCCTCATCGTGCAATCCCTCCCCATCGCCCATAATGTCACCCAAATCCAGATTCGCCCCGTACCCATACTCTTCCCCACACTCCCCCATTGTGCTTTTGCCGCCGCTACTCTCCTCTGAATAGCAGAACAGTCAACCAAAAAACACAGCAGCGCGTGGGCGCAGCTCGATGTCGAGTCCTTGTTGATCCCGCAGACACGTGTTGTACTGTGTGGATGCTAATCTCCTCCGGCGTGCGACCGCATAGACAGGCTATCTTACAGACTCAGCTTAACAGATGCCCGATCACCGCAGCAGCTACCCCGTCTGACCTTTCTGCATCCCCCCTCCAGCTTCCACAAAGTCACAGGCATTCAATGTCATGCACTAGATCCACTTCCTGGCAGTAGACGAGTTCAAGCACAACAACAATTTGGCGCCCAGATCCATAACCAGAGCAACAAAACTTGGTAGAAATCAATCATCCACAAGGCCTCGGCATGCTCACTGACCGTCATCAACTCTTTGTCGGATTTTATGCAATCACTGTCTGTCCATCTACCAACTATTCTGCAGCAATCACCCAGGCCTTCACACAGCAACACCAGAAGGCAGTGGAAGCGATGAGAAGACAAAAGTACCATGGGAGGTGAGGGCAACCTTGTCAACATTCGACCCTCTCGTAACAGACAAAAAAATCCAAACCCAACTAGTGGTCGGTTGCAACATACAAGACTCACAGCTCCATGAATTCCGTACTCAAGTCTCAATACACCGCGGTGCAGCCTGCGGGTGCGCTCGCACAAACTCCACTTCAATCACAGCGATGACCTGTCATGATAAGACCCGGATACACACATCGAAGTTGCAGGCAAGTCGACAACGTTGCACAGTTGTTATTACTCTATTCCGCACTTCAAAGCTCAAAGCAGACGATACGACTCAAACTGTGCAGCAGAATGGACAAAGAACAAAGACAAATCCTGCCGATAAGGTAAGTTGTCCTAGTCACTAATTAGTAATTACTGAGTAGAAATTGCCCATTCTCACTGAGCTAATTAGAAAAGTACTATCAGTTGAAGTGAGAAACAAAGGTTTAGGTTATGGAAAGCCTTCGGCCTTACGTCGTTTACAATTAGGAGGTCTTATTAAAACCAAGATTAGCGATGTAACTCCAACGCCACATATCGGATGTCGTCCTCCTAAGAAACGCCGCGTATAATATCATATCATCGCTTCTGAGGATTGGCAGAGGCACGAACGAAGGAAGTGCTAATTAGAAAAGTACTAATTAGCAATTGCCCATCAACAACAGTGCTCTGTGAATGGGCCTCTGTTGTACATGGCAGATTCCCCCTGCGCGCCAAGCTTTGCCGGAACATCAGCGCTGCAATTTTGTTTTTGTTTTAGCTGGCGCCGCCAGCCACTTTGGTCTGGTTCCCGCGAGCCTCCAAAATTTTAGGAGTGACCCAATCGTGATTCTCAAGTTGGCTGGGGCCATGTACTTGTGGTCTAAACCACCAGTACGTTTCCTGGCCAGTTTTTCTAAGACGCGGCTTGCATTCGGCCGCGTCTGGCGGGATGTGCCAGGGTGACATTTTGCTGAAAATCTGTGCAGGCAAAACCTGTCACATGCAAGGCCGGATTTTCCTGGATCGATTTTCCACCAATGGGCCTCCTGGTATGTCACGCCAGACGCAGCAACACGCGAATGGCGTCTTCAAAACATTGTCTGAGAAACGTACAGGTGGTTTAAGGACCCGAGTCCGTGAATAATTAGAAAAAAAAAAACTGTAAATTCAAATAAAAAAAGAACTTAACAGACCAATAAAAAGCTAAGGCACGCAAGTGCCATTCAGGAGGTCTTGGGTTCAAATCTCATTGGCCTCCATGTACCTTCCTGGGCAAGCTTGGCGGCCGCCACCTAGAGATATGCCATTGGTCCCCCCGAGTGGCATTGAGCAGAGACTGCTGATGTGCATAGGGGGAGGGGACCGGAGCGGAGGCACAGTGACTGGCCCATCGCAGAAGCTTGGTCCTGATGCTACTGGCTGACCCTTGGCGGGTATCGCCCACCTGCTGGTGGTGCAGCTCCCGCATGTTCCCTCGTTGGAGGCTTGTGCACTGATGCGGCTGCTACGGGGTTCCCCGTAACACTATAATGACAATAAAAAAAGGCCTGAAAGGCCGCCCTGTCCAGATTCAACAGGTATTTGAATTGGTTGGGCTTAAAGAATTAGCCTTAAAAAAAAAAAAAAAAAAACGGTGGCGTGGCTCAGTCGGTAGAGCACAAAATTGGCATTCAGGAGGTCGTGGGTTTGATTCCCCACGATCTTCATTCGAGCCCCCGCAATCTCCTGCGGCTCACTACAGGTTCACAAACAGAGTTAGTCAGCTTGACCCCCCGGATAGGGCTTGGTAGGGTTTACCTTCCCCTCCCATCCATTGCCTGGGGTTAGGAGGAAGCTGCGGTGCTTGGACACGGCAGGAGGTCACTACCAATAACCCATAACTGTTAGGGCCACCCAGCTTGTGTGCATAGATATGTTCTAGCCTCAGACCCTGTGCCTTAGACTCTAGTCCTAGACCCTAGATCCCCTTGGTGTGTGGATGGCCCCTGATCCCTTCCTTGTCCAGGGCAGGTAGTGCGAGGTACAATACTGAGAGAAAATGATAGCATAGTAAAAGAAATGCAGCTGTTCCCCATCTGAGGAGAAGACAAACCTGCATTGAAAAAAAAAACACAAAAAAAAAGCTATGTACAGACGAACCACATCCCGCTCTGCCAGCCCTTTTGAATTATTTCTGATTTTCCAGAGTCCTATAGATTCATGGAGCAGCAAAACAGCTATGGCCACTACTCTGCTTGATACTGCGTGACCGCTAAAGGACTGGCCATAAGTGAAGAGCCATAAAGCGGTACAGGCCCAGCAGCTTCAGCATGGAGCATCATCTGCACCAAGTCGTCTGCACCACCATCGGCTCATGCCTCAACAATTGGGCAACAACATTGTACCAGGATTATCGGCTGAACAATCGACTATTGACTGGACTATAGCGAGGTCTGAATCACCTTACCACCGACGCATATCCAGATCATAACGAGGACATGCACAGGGCGATCGCGATCGAAAAAACACTAAATGCCAACCTGACACATCAAGTCTAAGTCTAACAAGGCTCTGTAACATACCCATTTCCGGCAGACTGGCAGAAACTGGACCTGCTGTTGCCACTACCTTGGGAAGGTGGGGGACTTTCAGTGTAGTGGCCATTTGACGCCGCACTCCTTGCAAGCGTACACACTAAGCCGGAAAAAGTCGTTGAAGGTGCCACCTCTCATCCCTCAAAATCACATACAGCCTGGATTCAAAACAACGGTGCATGCCACTCACTCCACTTAAACCACCACTACCCCTGCCATCCTAAATTAGGGGGGGCCGGTAGCACAGGTCCATGAGGGCTACCCGTAGCACAGTGGGGGGAACTGGCCGCGTGGCAAAATTGGAATATGCGTCAAATTGCCCCTATGATTTATTTCGCGATTGAAATTATTATTTAAAGTTTTTAATAATTTTCACAATACTTTTCCTAGAAAGATCACGACGAAATCTGCAGACCCTACAATTTTTATTTTTTTTTCCCCTATGAAATCTATGTTCTTCTCTCAATTTCACCTCACACTACCTACCTACGACTACTCATAATTGTAGGCATACGGGGAACACTTCCTAGAGCATTGTATTGGACGTGAAAAATCGCTGAGGTCGGGGTACTTTTCCCGTTTGCGGACACGAGATAGAGCAGCAAAAATGGAATTTGGGACGAATTGGTGTGGCATTTATTTCACAGTCTAAATTTTTATATTTTTTAAAAAATATTTTTTGTGGTAAGGCAACGACCAAATCCACGGGCCCTGCAATTTGCAGAGTCGTTGAGTTATCCTTCTGAGCGCAAAAAATTGCGGAAGTCAGGGTACTTTTCCTGTTGGCCCACGTGTGGTTGAATGGCAGAATTGAAAAATGCAACGAAACGGCACGGCATTTATTTCAGTCTAATTTATTTTATTTTATTTTTTTCCTGGAAAGATCACAATCTAATCTACAGGATCTCAATTTTTCAGATTTTTTCTTCAATTCTTCTGCACGCGAAAAATCGCCAAAGTTGGCAATTGAAAATCCTTGGACCGGGCCCGCCTGAGCCTGCCGATCTCTGCCCCCCCCCCTAAGAACCCGGTGCGTAAGGCCAGGAAAGCTAGGAAGATTTTCATGACCGGCCAGTCTAGACCGGCCAGTCACCCGGGCACCCTCTATGGCAACTCTAAGCTGTGCCCCGAAACCGTTTCCTGCCCGATCGCAATTGGAACTGTTTTCTTCTGACAGCTGAAAGCTAAACCTTGGTTTCAACAAGTGCTTTCGCAGACCCAGAAAGTTCCCCGCGCTAAACTTGGGTAAAAGCAGCATTACTCACATCAGTACTCCGTTTGACATTTCTGGTCGCGGATATTACACTAGCTGCAGTCCAAACAGTTGCACCTGTCAATCAAGAATTGTCTAACCATTCTCACAGCCCTCTTTCCTACCTCTGCCATCATGAAGGCAGCAAAAGACAAATAAGAACCTAAGGACCAGAAAGGGGGGGGGCAGAGGGGGGAGGACAAAACAAACGCAGAGCTTTCTCAGTGAATCTTGCTGCAGTGACAGCCAGATGCGTTCGCAAGAAAAAGGGACAACCCAAGAGGATGTGGAAGCGCCATTCGTCACGGCCCTCTGATATGTTGAGGGTCATAAGAAGGGCATTTTGAGATTGAATGAACAAGCCCCCTGCTTGAGCTCATGTAGTATCTGTCCATATGTCCTTGATGATGGCCAGATTCATTCGGCAAATCATTCATATCTTCCCACAGTGTCAGGGCATGTGCTCACACCAGGACCTTTTTCACTGAATCCGGCGACAATTACAGCCGGCTACACAGAGGAATGCTAGTTTTGAATATGGCATTACATGCCATCACTGTGTTTGCCAGGCAATGGAACCTGGACCACGGATGGTGAAAGACCTATAGGTGCGGTCGTCGGCTTCAGCCTCCCCATTCCATGACGCTTTCTCGTTTGATCCATGTTTTGTTTTTCTTTTGGTTTCTCTCTTCAAGTCTAAAGGCCATACTTGGTGTATACTCACACTAGGCACTTGTGATCGCAGCATAGCAATCAGCAGCCGGATGGAGACCTCAAAGGAGGACTCGATCTGGCCGCTGATTCTGCAATTCCACGATCATAAGGGCCTAGTGTGCACATTCCCCAAGTGCATTTGTACCTGGCAAGATTTTGATCTCGGGGCGGGACAGCCCGGCTGGGCACCCGGGCGTGAAACAAAAAGAATACAGTGGTTTGCGCTCTGAGAGAGGGTCCCGAAAAGAATACAGTGGTTTGCGCGATGGAGGGAGGCAATGGAGGACGAGGGAGGTGTTGACGAGCCAATGGATGGGGGAGAGAGGCAATGTGGGAGGTGGCAGGCGACGGAGGAAGGAGCGAGGCTATGGAGAACCGGGCAGCCGCCAGGCCCGAAAAAGGGCCGAAGGGTTTTTTTCTCTACTTGGTGCTGTGAGCGCCTGGGAGCCAACCCGCTGGGCATGCCCATATGGGCGGTCTGGCATCTGTGAGCGCCTGGGAGACCACCCGCTTGTCATGCCCAGACGGGCGGTCGGGCATCTCTCTGGGCAGGAGATTGCAGCAGGCGCCCCGGTTTTCAACCTCGATTTGTACTGTATTTTTCATTATTCACTATGCAAGCTCAGCTCTTTCCTA